CTGAACGAGCACCCAGTGGTCCGAACGAGCACCCACTGGTCCGAACGAGCACCCACTGGTGTGACCTTGTCTGAACGAGCACCCACTGGTCTGACCGAGCACCCACTGGTCTGGCCGAGCACCCACTGGTCTGGCCGAGCACCCACTGGTCTGGCCGAGCACCCACTGGTCTGGCTGAGCACCCACTGGTGTGACCGAGCACCCACTGGTGTGACCGAGCACCCACCTGTGGGTGCTTGTTTAGACCTGTGGGTGCTTGTTTAGACCTGTGAGTGCTTGTTTAGACCTGTGAGTGCTTGTTCAGACCTGCGAGTGCTTGTTCAGACCTGCGGGTGCTTGTTCAGACCTGCGGGTGCTTGTTCAGACCAGTGGGTGCTTGTTCAGACCTGTGGGTGCTTGTTCAGACCTGTGGGTGCTTGTTCAGACCTGTGGGTGCTTGTTCAGACCTGTGGGTGCTTGTTCAGACCTGTGGGTGCTTGTTCAGACCTGTGGGTGCTTGTTTAGACCTGTGAGTGCTTGTTTAGACCTGTGAGTGCTTGTTTAGACCTGTGAGTGCTTGTTCAGACATGTGGGTGCTTGCTTAGACCTGTGGGTGCTTTTTTAGACCTGTGGGTGCTTGACCCAGACAGGCCCAATTCCAGCCCTAGCGAGACCCAGCCCGTGTCCATCTACAGCCAGGCCCTGCCCGAGTCCAGGACCAGACAGGCCCGAGTCCAGGCGCAGACTGGCCCAAGTCCAGGCCCAACCAGGCCGAAGTCCAGCCCTAGCGAGACCCAGCCCGTGTCCAGCTATAGCCAGGCCCTGCCCGAGTCCAGGACCAGACCCACAGAACAGAAAACTGAAGAGAATAGAACAAAGAACCAAACAGGGAATAGAACAGAGAACACAGAACAGAGAACCTAGAACAGAACAGAGAACATAGAACAGGACAGAAAAGAGAACCGAGAACAGCGAACATAATACAGAACAGAGAACTGTACAGAGAACAGAACAAAAACCGAACAGGGAATAGAAGAGAGAACACAGAACGGAGAACAGAACACAGAACGTCAAATTAAAGCGTTATTACACTAAGGAATATTTAACTAACGGTAAAATACGTAGATCAACATATATTTGAGGGAAATAACTACATTTGAAACGGAAATGACGATTAATGAGTCATTTAAAAGTACGTACGTACGTGTGTGTGTGTGTGTGTGTGTGTGTGTGTGTGTGTGTGTGTGTGTGTGTGTGTGTGTGTGTGTGTGTGTGTGTGTGTGCGCGCGCGCGCGTGCGTACGTAGGTGTATGTGTCTGCGGCCCCCTCATCTACAAGTGGGAACACAATTCAACAAAAAACTAAATCAATGGCAGACTCAAACACTTTCTATCTTATCCTTAGTACACACATTGATTTAGAGTGCATTTTTGCAAGGTATATGAAGCATCATCATAGATAACTCGGAAATCATATAAAAAATCAGCATGCACACTTAACTCCATACATATCTATTAAAAATCGTTACAGTTTGAGAAATCTCTCGATAACACCTTCCCATTTACAAATTGCTATCAAAGTCCCTATATAAATTAATTTTTTCCCCCTTTATGGATATCTCAGCCCGTCCTCCAAAAATGGAGAGGTAAATGTAACTGTCCCATAAGTGCAATTATATACTTTGTATGGAAGTCTAAAATTGTACTTAGGTTAGGCTAACCTACACTTAGTATTACATTGTAGTGTCAAATATATTGTGAATATTTGAGTTTACCTGAAAAAATAAATAGAAAATCACAACCTCACCTAGCCGTCTTATTTTTTGAAGATAAGCATTTTAATATTATGTGCTGGTTGGTGTAGTTATGAGACAGAAGATTTAGATCAGGATCAATATCAGTGTGCATGGAAATGCAGAGGGATCACGATACAATAAGACAAGCAATTACAGAAACAGATAAATACTAAATCTGCTGTAAAAACAAAGTAATTATAGCAAAACACAAGAATATTAGCAAATACACTTAAAATAGGAACAAATTAGAAGTAAAATAAAGATCCAATAGATAGCCAGGAAGGACACAGAAGTTCGATAAAAGAAAAAAAATCAGTGAAGACTGACAATATAAATGTAAAATAAAAAATAATAAGAAAAATAATAATCAAAGTAAAATTATCTTAAAGATAATTAGCTTAGTAATGGTTAGTTAAAATCCTATAATTAGTATGAAACTAAATTATGTGTGTTGGAATTGAGTACTACAGATGTTGGAGGTAGCATGTTTGGAGCAGATGCTCTTTTGTTTATGATCTTGTTAATAATATTTCATGTACCTGATAATGTTTTGTTGTTACTGGCGGAGAATAAAAACCATGTGGACGAAGATTGTTTGTCTGACCAAAACCATAACAATGTGCCTCTAATCCTTTACACCACCGCCCACGGGATGGGTATGGGGTGCATAATAAAGAAAATTAAATTAGTTAAACGAACTAGGGAGGTTCAGTTAAAAAAAATTAAATTTTGCCCCGAGGGGCGAGTTTATTGGGCAGCGCCACTCATCTTGTGAGTGGACACACCGCCATAGCAGCATGTACAACACTCCCCAATAGGAAGAAAACCCGCTGGGTTGTTCATCCTGTCACTTGTACCCAGACACAGCTGGGACTTGCTTAACTGTCTCAAGTGAACAGCTCCTCAAACAAGAAGATTAACATCTATCAACCCTTAAAAGCTTACGTTATCTTGCGGGTGCAAAATGGGGAAATCTTTTAAGAACAGTATCAATATTTGACAAATAGTGTTTTCCTAACTCAAACAATGTGGGGTTTATTATTCTACACATATTCCTAATGTCTCTCAGGTGTTCACATTCACGTAGATAGTGGTCAAGGCGGTGTCCATCACTCTCACCTCAGATTCTGCAACTTCGCTGGTCAACTGTTGTTTCCATTCCAAATCTCCATGGATAATTGTATCCAAGACGGATTCTCGCTATTACTGATTCTCTCCCTCGTCCTCCTCCTCTTCGGCCATAATGACTGGGATTGCCAGCTGCAACCATGTTGTACCATCGTACAGATTCATTGGTTTGTGCTTCTATCCTCCTTTCCTCAGTTACCTTGTCACGGTGATGTTGCCTGATAATACCTCTAATTTGTAGTCGAGTCTTGGGTATGAAGTATTCAATATGGTCTCCTTCAGCGCCTTCAGCAGCCAGCACATCTGCTCGTTCATTCCCACATATTCCAACATGGGAGGGGATCCACAGAAACTTGGTGACTCTTCCCTGATTGGTAAGTACTCTCACAGCTCTCTTAATTTCAGCGACTATTGCAAGATTTTCTGCCTGATTTTTACTTATGCTTTGCAGTGCTGCTTTTGAATCGGTGCAAATCACTGCACCATTAGTGTTCCGTTCAAGAAACCTTAACGCCATAACAATAGCAGTTAGCTCTGCTTGCGTTGAAGAGGCATAGTTCTCAATACGCGCTTTTTCTTCATTTCTGCGTTGGAAAGTATTATCCTTGATTACCGTGTATGCTGCACCAGCCCTGCCATTGACAGGATTAGATGACCCGTCAGTGTAGATTTGATCTAGTTCATCTCCGGCTTCTTTATAAATTTCCTCGAGATACTTGTGCCTCATTTCTTGTGGTATCATGTTGGATTTTTTCGTTGCCATTTCATTGATGATGATCTTGCATGAGTCATCCTCCCAGGGAGGTAACTTCTCTACAGGCAGGAGCTCACGGGCTTGTTCAAGCAGGTGAAGCTCTTCAAGGTAGCAGACTGATCTGTGATGCCATTTTTTGCTTCTCCTGTTTCCCCCTGAAAGTAGCACAGAGCTCAGTTTTTTCTTAGCAATATCATTGTAATGGGGATCTCTGGCTATCCTAATTGCAAGCTTAGCTTTCAGCTCCTGAATTCTGCTTTTAACACTGGGAAGGGACAACAACTCTCGTAGATTAGACGTTTTGGCAGTTCTTGGAACTCCAAGAATGATTGTCATGGCTTCATTTTGAATGCTTTCAAGCCTTTTCATATCGCTTTGGGAGTAGGTGCATAGAACTGGTGCGGCATAGTCTATGACGGAGCGCACATAGGCTGTGAACATCATTTTAAGCACGGCAAGAGAGTCTCCATGTCCATTCCAGGTCATAGCTTTCAGTGCCCCGAGTCGACTTTTGCATGTTCCTATGAGTTGATTGCGCTCCTCTTTCTTTCCCTTGTTAGAGCCGACAGTGACGCCAAGGTACCGATAGTGGTCAACCCATTCAAGTGTTACACTATTAATTTGCAGTTCTTCATTTACTCTCCGCTTGTGATGGGAGTATGCTTCGTCTTATTTGTGGAGAGTGTGAAACCGAGCTCAATACATTTCCTTCCAAGGAGTTCAATGGACTGTTCAATTTTTCCCAAGGTGGGAGCTTGTATTAGGACGGTTCAGTTCGTGACCCGATTATGTGCCTCTGTATAACCCCTTTCCACTACCGCTGACCTGAAGTGATATGACTTCTTGGTGAAACCTCTTCCATTTCTTTCTTTATTATGCACCCCATACCCATCCCGTGGGCGGTGGTGTAAAGGATTACAGAGGCACATAATCGGTTCAGGAACTGAACCCTCTAGTTCGTTTAGCTAAGCCTCTGGAGGACGGGCTGCTGCTGGATCAATATCTTTTTTTTTTAATTTTCGGTATAGTTTCGAGTTATTATTGACTAACGATAATATTTGTATAATACTTTGTCGCTTTTTAACATTTTTGTTAAAGTTTTTTACGTATGTTATTAATATTTGAACTTTAATTAATATTCATTTACGTAGTGTTAACATTAATAACATGTTCCGGCGAAATAATATGCACATGTAGATGTTCTGTGGATATTTTGTTTAAATAATATTTTAAACTAATCTGTAAAATATTGTGATATTTAAGTTTGACTAAAAGTTTTTGAGCACTGTACAATAGTTTTCAATTTGATTAGGTGGATCCTGGATTTTTTTTTTTTTTTTTTTTAACTCGTGGCCTGCTGACGCTCGGTCTCGGCTCGGGCTTGGACAGACCATCCTTACTTAATTTTACATTTATATGTTCCACTGAACAATTTGTGCTAAGTACAATATATTCTGACTATGCTTTTCGATCACTACTTAAGATATTCTGGTTTCTCGTTTTGGATTTGTGGCAATAAAAGGAATGATAAAGTAGGGGAAGGGAGCAACGACGACTTGGCAAGGCGTCTCATAGTTTGTTTTGGTTTGTGGAGCGACGCCGCAGCGTCTGGTCCGCGGGTCTTCTGTATATATCAACAAAATTTTCGAACATCCATCCACCATGTCTACTACAACTGCAGGTAATTTGTCAGTGATGGCTTCTGCAGGCAGAAAACCTGAGAGAAAACGTTCAGTGATGACTTTCGAGAAGAAAGTAAGAGTAAATAGTGGTGGAGGTTGGCGTCCTAAGAGATGTATTGGGCAAGACTTGGCTAATTTAAATTTTCTTGCAGAATGCAAGTCTATTGGCAATGTCACTCACCCTGTGAGTGAACACACACACCGCCACTCACCCTGCGAGTGAACACACTGCCATAGCTGCTTGTACTACACCGCCTCAAGTGTAATTACCTAAGTGTAGTTACAGGATGAGAGCTACGCTCGTGGTGTCCCGTCTTCCCAGCACTCTTTGTCATATAACGCTTTGAAACTACTGACGGTCTTGGCCTCCACCACCTTCTCACTTAACTTGTTCCAACCGTCTACCACTCTATTTGCGAAGGTGAATTTTCTTATATTTCTTCGGCATCTGTGTTTAGCTAGTTTAAATCTATGACCTCTTGTTCTTGAAATTCCAGGTCTCAGGAAGTCTTCCCTGTCGATTTTATCAATTCCTGTTACTATTTTGTATGTAGTGATCATATCACCTCTTTTTCTTCTGTCTTCTAGTTTTGGCATATTTAATGCTTCTAACCTCTCCTCGTAGCTCTTGCCCTTCAGTTCTGGGAGCCACTTAGTAGCATGTCTTTGCACCTTTTCCAGTTTGTTGATGTGCTTCTTAAGATATGGGCACCACACAACAGCTGCATATTCTAGCTTTGGCCTAACAAAAGTCATGAACAATTTCTTTAGAATATCGCCATCCATGTATTTAAATGCAATTCTGAAGTTAGAAAGCATAGCATAGGCTCCTTGCACAATATTCTTTATGTGGTCCTCAGGTGATAGTTTTCTATCTAGAACCACTCCTAGATCTCTTTCTTTATCAGAATTCTTTAAAGATTTCTCACATAATATATAGGTTGTGTGGGGTCTATGTTCTCCTATTCCACATTCCATAACATGACATTTATTAACATTAAATTCCATTTGCCAAGTGGTGCTCCATATACTTATTTTGTCCAGGTCTTCTTGAAGGGCATGACAGTCATCTAAATTCCTTATCCTTCCTATTATCTTAGCATCATCAGCAAACATGTTCATATAATTCTGTATACCAACTGGTAGATCATTTATGTACACAATAAACATCACTGGTGCAAGAACTGAACCCTGTGGTACTCCACTTGTGACATTTCTCCATTCCGATACATTGCCTCTGATTACTGCCCTCATTTTTCTATCAGTCAGAAAATTTTTCATCCATGATAGAAGCTTACCTGTCACCCCTCCAATATTTTCCAGTTTCCAGAACAACCTCTTATGTGGAACTCTGTCGAAAGCCTTTTTTAGGTCCAGATAGATGCAGTCAACCCAACCATCTCTTTCCTGTAATATCTCTGTGGCTCGATCATAGAAACTGAGTAAATTCGATACACAGGATCTTCCAGATCGAAAACCATACTGTCTGTCTGATATTATATCATTTCTCTCTAGGTGTTCTACCCATTTAGTTTTGATTAGTTTTTCCAATACTTTCACTATTACACTTGTCAATGATACAGGTCTATAATTGAGGGGGTCTTCCCTGCTGCCACTTTTGTAGATTGGAACTATGTTAGCCTGTTTCCACCCGTCTGCTACGATTCCTGTACACAGGGATGCCTGAAAGATCAGGTGAAGTGGAATGCTGAGCTCAGATGCACATTCTCTCAGAACCCATGGTGAAACGCCATCTGGGCCAGCTGCTTTGTTCTTACCGAGCTCCTTGAGCATTTTTTCCACTTCGTCTCTAGACACCTCTATGTGTTCTATGTTGTTCTCTGGAATTCTTATTGTATCTGGTTCCCTAAAGATTTCATTTTGTACAAACACACTTTGGAACTTTTCGTTTAGTGTTTCACACATTTCCTTTTCATCTTCCGTGAATCTATTTCCCATTTTCAACCTCTGAATATTATCCTTTACCTGCAATTTGTTGTTTATGAATTTATAGAATAGACCTGGTTCTGTTTTACATTTGTCCGCAATCCCTTTTTCAAAATTTCTTTCTGCCTCTCTCCTCACTGCCGTGTAGTTGTTTCTCGCATCTTTGTATCGCTGGTATGTTTGGGGGTTCGGCCTCTTCCTGTATTGATTCCATTTTTGTGTCTTTCGGTCTCTAGCCCTCTCGCAATTTCTATTGAACCAATCCTGTTTCCTAGTTCTGCATCTCTGTTTTGGTATAAATTTTTTTGTGCCTTTATCATATATTTCACAAAACTTGCCATACATCTCATTCACTTCCTTGCCTAGCATCAAGTCTGTCCAATTATACTCACTAAAAAAATTTCTAAGGTCACCATAATGTCCTCTCCTGAAGTCTGGTTTTTCAACTGCTTCAACCTCCTTATTTTCTTCCAGCTTATAACGCATTGCATACTTTATTCCCAAAAAGACATGGTCACTTTTACCCAAGGGAGGAAGGTACTGAATGTCAAATATCTCTTCCTCCTTCCTGGTAAATATCAAATCTAGCATGGAGGGAACGTCCCCTTCCCTCATCCTCGTAGCTTGTTTAACATGTTGATACAAGAATGTTTCCAGGATGAGGTCTACAAATTTACAGGTCCAAAAATCTTCTGTTTTAGCTTCATATGCTTCCCAGTCTATGGATTTCAAGTTGAAGTCACCGACTATCAACAGTCGTGATCTATCGTTATCCGCTCCCGCTATAATCTCTCTCATTATTGTTATAAGACCTTCACGTTTACTATCTAGCTCCTCCTTTGACCATGTGCTGCTTGGCGGTGGACTATATGCATTTATCATCATTAGTTTATCATCCTCATAGCAGATCTCTAGTGCTATTATGTCAACTTCTTGTGGATTGGCAATCATTATTTCCTTCACCTTTAGGTGTTCTTTTACCAGCACAGCAACGCCACCGCCTTTCCTAATTTTTCTGTCCCGTCTCCAAATTGAGTAGCCCCTTGGGAATATGACCTCATTTAAAATTACATCTTCAAGTTTTGTCTCCGTGAGTGCAACAATGTCTGGTGTCTGCAGCTGTATTACATCACTTAACTCCAGTATCTTCGATCTCACTCCATCTATGTTGGTGTATGCAATCTTCAGGAACTTGTTCCCCCTCTCCTTATTCTTCACTCCCCCTCTCTCTATTGATTTTGTTGGTTTGCCTTTATGTACCACTTTACTGGTTTGCCTACCCCTATCACTTTGTAGAAAAAAGAATTTATTTCTTCTTCATTCCTGCTCTCATTTAAATGTTTTGCCTCGGCGAGGTTCAGTTTCAGCTTCTCTCTGTCTTCTTTTGAAAGATCTCGTCTTAACGACCACCCTTTCCCATCCTCATCCCTTTGCAATTTTCTAGCATTCCTTAGTACTTCTTCCATCTGTTTGGCACCGTTTAGGGTGATCCTCAAAGGTCGATCTTTCCCTTTTACGTACCTGCCTATTCTCCTGTAGTCGCACACATTCTCTCTGTTTGTAAGACCTTCCACGAGGCCAACAATTTTATCTACTACTTTAGCTTCTTCTACAGCTCTTTCTGACCTAGATGTTATCGCCTTTTCTTTGCAGCCAAAAATGATCAGGGACTTACTCCGATCAACTGTGTTTTGCACCAACTTCGGGTTAGATGCCAATTCTTTCCTCACTTCTAGCCTAATGTTTGTTTTATCTTGGTTGCTGCAGTGTTTGACTTCCTTTACTGCTTCTTCTATTTTTTCCTTCTCCTTGGCCACTTGTGCATAAGTGAGTTGCATATCTTTCTTGCACTGTTCTATTCCCTGTGTAACTTCCTCCATCTGTGCTGACAAAAGCTGTTTCTCCTGTTGAATTTCCTTGCCTAACCTATTGTAGTCATTTATGTTTAAATTTACTTTAACTTCTTCCAAAGCTATTTTTAAGAGTTTATTTTCTTCTTCCATGGCTTTGCAATTTGTTTCCAATTGATTCTTATCCTTGCGCAAGTCTTTCACTAAACCCTCAAGACATAAAACTTTGCTATTCAAATGGTCATTACTTTCTTTCAATTTACTAATTATTTCTACATGAGAGTTCACTATAGTATCTAAATTTACCAACTTGTTATGTAGACTACTAATATCAATGCTTTCTTCATTGAATCCCTCAAAATCAAGCTCTGTTTTGTTTTTCCCCTTGCCAGTGGCCATCTTGAATGTTCTTCTCTGCACTGTAAACACTAGGGCAACTTTTTCTCATCCGATTTTTCACTTCCCTTAGCACTTTCCTGTTATCTCACCTATTTTTCAAGAGCACTATACCTTTATGTTCTCTGGGACACCACTCACTACCATCAACCTGTACTACAATACTTAGGATTGTTGAAATATGCTGGAGCTCCTCTGCTGCAAGTGTTGACCCTAGGGGTGTCACCTTTTTTCCATATATATATATATATATATATATATATATATATATATATATATATATATATATATATATATATATATATATATATATATATATATATATATATATATATATATATATATATATATATATATATATATATATATATATATATATATATATATATATATATATATATATATATATATATATATATATATAAATGTATAATGTCGTACCTAGTAGCCAGAACGCACTTCTAAGCCTATTATGCAAGGCCTGATTTGCCTAATAAGCCAAGTTTTCCTGAATTAATATATTTTCTCAAATTTTTCTTATGAAATGATAGAGCTACCCATTTCATTATGTATGAGGTCAATTTTTTTTTATTGGAGTTAAAATTAACGTAGATATATAACCGAACCTAACCAACCCTACCTAACCTAACCTAACCAATCTTTATAGGTTAGGTTAGGTAGCCGAAAAAGTTAGATTAGGTTAGGTAGTCGAGAAAACATTAATTCATGAAAACTTGCCTTATTAGGCAAATCGGGCCTTGCATAGTAGGCCGTGAAGTGCGTTCTGGCTACTAGGTACGACATATATATATATATATATATATAATATAATTGACTGGTACTTAAATATCTGTTAACATTAATAATTGTGTAACTAGCGTCACAAATTTTATTTGCTTAGCTAAACGAACTAGAGGGTTCAGTTCCAGAACCGATTATGTGCCTCTAACCCTTTACACCACCGCCCATGGGATGGTTATGGGGGGCATAATAAAGAAAGAAATTGAATTGAATCAGGTACCTGGTACTTTTAAGTACCAGGTAATTTTAACAATACAGGTACAGTATTATAATTTTATTTCCATCACAGAGTTATATGAAACAGGTGTGTAGTGCAGAGGTTAATCTATAACCCTGCAATATCCAATGTAACCATTACAGGCTCTATAGCCCTTGCTACATGGACATTTCATTCCGAGTAGCTAAATCTAAAAACAACAACAATATCCAATGTAGAGAATATGTAAGTGTTACTGTAATAAAATAACATAAGCCATATAATGTTTTATCATACAAAGCTGTTACAGTACAAACAGTGATATATATATATATATTTTTTTAGAAACATACCACATACAGGTACTTTGAAACCTCAAATTATCTTTATTTTTCAGGCTTGAAAAACTGTTGCCAGCGGTTCTGTCCTTCCTGCAATGATGTCATCAGTATTCGCCGACATGTCTGCAACTGTGGTTACAGCTTTATTGATGCCAAACTTAAAGCTGAGCAGGAAAAAGTGGCTCGTCAAGAAAAGATGGGATTCTGTACGTCATATGAACATTATAAAGCTCAAGAATACCACTACATGTTATACAATATTGCAAATGCTTTAATGTTATGACTGGATATAGATGTATATTATATTTTTCAGCACACAATACTGGACAGGAACAGTTTGTCCCAACAAGAAATCTAACAAAAAGAAAGAGGCTAGGGAAAAAAAACCTTGGTAAGACTGCTAAACTCAAATCTTCCTGATTTGCCTGCAAAGCTCAATTATAATTTCATGCATAATATTGAATATTAAATAAATAACATATGATTAATTACAATTCATCAAAGCAAAAAATATTTCCCATATAGCTTATTAGCAAATTAACCTTTTTAATTATTGAAAGGCTAACCTACCAGTATTGTCAAATAAGCAGTTTGTTGTTTTCTACATTTAAAACAAAGTCGTCACTATCAGCATAGTTATTTTGAATAATATCATTTCTTCAGTGTGTGCTATATGTGAAATTCTGTTTTCTTTCACTTTCTTTGTTCCAACTTCTTGTATGAAATATTCAAGAGTTAAAATACAGAAAGACAATGCAGGAGATGGAAGAGGAGATAGCAAAGCTCCAGGCTGCGTATGATGCCCGCAACAAGGACAAAAAGCCTCAGACAGAGATATTGCAGTATTCTGGCAGTTCATGTGGTCGGAAGAGCAGAGCTTTAGGTATTAGCAAGGCATAAACCGTATCTTACTTTACTAATATCATTGCCAATATTTAAATAGACAGTAATTAATAATAAGCTTACCTAAATGTGCAAACGATGAGTCACAATGTGGTTAAAGATGTGATGACCAAACCACACATCAGAAAATGAAGAAACAACATTTCGGTCCATTCTGGACCATTACACTACTTGATAATGGTTCAAGACGGACCGAAATGTCATCGTTTCTTCACTTTCTGATGTGTGGTTTGGTCCTTGTACTTAAATGTGAAGTCATTTTAATACATAATTTTTATTATTTTTCCTTCTGTTACTAGGTACACCATCAAATCCTTTCCCTGTCAATCATAAAGTTGTCGAATCTGCGGAGCCTGCTGTAGAAGTTGTACCTGAACCTATTGATGGTATGTTATGTCATTATTTTAGATTTTTTAACACACACAAACACACTGATTAAGACTACTCATAGTCCAATCGATAGAGCTTCGGCCTCACACTCGTGGGTCCATGGTTTGAGACCTGTACATCCCAGGTGAAAGGAATTTCTCATGACTGTCATTACTTTTTCTCTCTTGTATGGGTAGAGTATGCAGCTTAGCAATGCCATGGTTGTAGGTTCTCGCTCAATAACAAAGATGACTGCCACCATGGGGTAATGTAAACACACCAACAGATGATTGTTTCAAAGGGTTCTCTCAACAAGATAATGAAAGGAGGTTTTTTTGGCAGGTTAAAGATAATTGACGATATAAAGTGGTACCTCGGAATACGAGCAGTATTTGCTCTGAAAATGTGCCTCGGAGGGCGAGCTTGATGATACGCGTACAGGCCGACCTAGTGCGTGGTGGTTCGGCGATCGTTGCCCCTCACCCCTCAGTTTACCAGTGCCTCGTGCCCAGTGACTATCCCACGTCAATTCTTCACCCGAATTTTCAGTGTTTTGTTGGATTTTTGGTCATTTGACCATAAAAGTTATTATATATCTCGCCATAGGTCCCAAGAAAGCCAATGGTAAGGTTTAACCTAAGAAAATAGTGCTGCATTTCGGGCGATCGAGTGGCAACACTGAAAAGTGCACACACTTTTCACTGTCCTGACATTAATTTTCCATGTACTTATTTCAATTTTGTACCAATGTGTTCGCAATAGAATGTTCTAGAAGAACATAAGTATAAAATGTCACACAAGGATGCGTTAGACCAGCACCAAATAAAAAAAACTACGTCGATTACACTTGTCGTGTCAACAATACAATGGTCTTACCTCGATGGTGCAATGCTATGCCGTTCTCCCAAATAGACTATGCGGCTATTAGAGAAAACGGAAATTTCATGGCGGACATTTTCAAACTATCCCAAAGTCGATCGAATAACAAAGAGTTTATAGAAATATTTTTTCTCATGACTTGAGCGAGTCCGCTGTGCGACCTTAACACAAAAAGTGGTAACGCTCTCGAGCGCCGTGATAACACTAAAGTGTTAAGAAAATGTGTGAAGTATGGGAAGAATTGCAAAGTTTTGTTGAAGAGACTCGCCCAGATAAAGCTGTAGCAGGCCGTTGCATTGACCTTTTAAATGACAATGTGATGTCTTACTACAGACAAGTGTTAAAATGTAGGGAAAAACAAGTGTCTTTAGACAGATTCTTAGTAAGACAAGCAAGTCTTAGTGGTATGCAGGCAAAACGTGCCAGTGTGTGCACACCAGTGAAGTCCTCACTGCCTGATGTTATAATGGAAGGGGACTCCTCTTCCAAACAGTAACACCTCTTCTCCCTCCTCACCATCTTCCATACGCCAACAGCAAGATAAGTAATAACTTGAACATAGTTTTGTAGGTTTATTTAAATGAATTTGGTATAAAACTTAGTTTGAAGTGGGGATTTTGGGTAGTCAGGAACGGATTAATTTATTTCCCATTATTTCTTATGGGGAAATTAGCTTCGGAATACGAGTTTTCGACGAGCTGTCTCCAGGAATGGATTAAACTCTTAAACTGAGGTACCACTGTACTAAAGAGGTATGAGGAAAAGAATTGGAAGAAGAAAATGGAGCTCTCAGGAGTGAGTTTTGCTCTTTAAAAGGAAGTATTCAGCAAGGTAATAAAATTAAAAATTACTGCACTAATGGGCAAGGTAAAGAGTCAGGAGAAACAAATCAAGGAACTCTTACTTAAACTCCAGCATTATGGAATCCGAGGCCTTGCCCTTGACTACATCCGATCCTATCTTAGTGACAGACACCAATATGTAACCATCAATGATACAACTTCTTCCACTCTACCAATTACCGTTGGAGTGCCACAGGGCAGCATCTTGGGACCTCTTCTATTTCTTATATATATAAACGATCTGCCTAATGTCTCTAATATTCTCAAACCTATATTGTTTGCTGACGATACTACCCTTATCTATTCAAACCTCAACCCACATACACTAAATAATGTTGTGAATAATGAATTAAAAAAAGTCCACTTATGGATGTCAACGAACAAACTAACATTAAACATCGAAAAGACTTACTACATCTTATTTGGAAGCAAATCATCAAATGCAATTCAGCTACAGATAGACAACATTAACATCAGTAATAAAAATGATGGCAAGTTTCTTGGCCTATTCCTAGACAAGAGACTCAACTTCAGCACCCACATTCAACACATAACTAAGAAAGTCTCTAAGACAGTTGGTATACTCTCCAAAATCAGATATTATGTTCCTAACTCTGCTCTCCTCTCACTATATTATGCACTAATCTACCCCTATCTTAATTATGGTATCTGTGCATGGGGGTCTACCACTGCAAACCACCTTAAGCCCATCATCACACAGCAAAAATCTGCTATCAGAATAATAACTAACTGCTTTCAGACAACACTCAGCTCCCTTGTTTAAATCCCTAAACTTGCTAAATATTAACTCCCTCCACACATTCTCTTGTCAACTACATTTACAAAACCCTGTTCTTAAATGCAAACCATGCTCTGAAACTCTCCCTGGACAGATGTAATAGGACCCATTATCACCACACCAGAAATAAATATCTCTTTGATATCCCCAGGGTCAAACTTAATCTGTGTAAACACTCTATGCAAATTAAGGGACCTAGTCTATGGAACTCACTCCCTCTTGAATAACTGTAAAACTTTTGCCTTATTTAAAAGCAAAACCAAAAAGTACCTAACTTCATCTTCTTAGTTTCCTACACTGAGCTTTAAATTTGCTCTGTACCTAGTGTTACCCAATCTCCTAATTTTTATGTAATATCAAACAACCTTATCATTGTGTTCATTGCTGTCTTCTTTTATGTGCTAGCCATATGTTGTATTGTGACTACCAATTTTTGTCAACTACCATTCAAGCTGTCATTGCAATCAATCTTAGCTACCTATGTGCTTTAATATACTGTACCTACAATTTTCTCTCATCTTCTTTTTTTCATTTCATGTAACTGTTATCATTTTTTGTCTATAAATTTTGCAAGTATTTACCTCCTTAAAATTTTCTTAGATCAAGGACCTGCCCGAAACGCTGCGCATGCTAGTGGCTTTACAAGACTGTAATTACCATATTTGTATCTTCACATTCCTTATGTACATTCTTGTATATGCATAAATAAATAAATAAATAAATAAATAAACAAACTAATGAAAGACATTGAGGTATGGAAAGTGAACAATGGTGAGTTTAAAGAAATAAACTAGAAAGTAGACTCATATGGTGAACAACTCCAAGGAACCCTGAGGGCTAACATGGAGTAAGGCAAGGTTATGCAAAGAGAAACTTCATTGACAACTCGCACAGAGGCAGTTAATAAAGAACTAGAAAAGTACAAAGAAGAATTAAAAGACATATGCGCAAGTTGTAAAAGAGAGATAATCAAGGAAGTATGTTTCGAAGTCAAAACCAGAAATGACAAACAAGAAGCAGAAATTAGGCAAGCAATTAGGGAAGAACTGGTAACCAACAGTAAACTAGTACAAAACATTGCAGATAGAAGTGAATAATAATTTTCAGATGTTTAGAAAAGAAAATATCTAGTTTGGACAGTCAGCAGAAAAGATGAAAATCATAGAGAAAATAGGTTTAGGAGAAGGCTTAAATTCAAAGGAAAATTACTGATTTTAGGATAGGAAAATATGAGAAAGACGAGAACCGCCCCTTAAGGGTGACATTTAATGGAGTGAAACACATGACGGAAGTGCTTAAAAATGCTAGGAAATTGCAGTGTGATGAGGATGGCAAACTTTGGTCAGTAAGACAAGATCTCTCAAAGAAAGACAGAGAAAACCTGAAAATAAACCACCATTGAAGCAAAACATCTAAATGGTAATAGAAATGAAGAAAGAATTTTTTCTTTAGGGACTGGAAAGCTAGTGAAATGGTACATAAAAACAAAGCAACATCATCATTAGAGGGAAGGAGAGTAAAGGACAAAAGAAAAGAGAACATGTTCCTGAAAATTGTATATACCAACATATGGTGTGAGATAAAAAATATTGGAGCTAAAAGATATAATTCAGCTTATTAAAGTATTGTCGCACTAACAGATGAAACTAAGAAAATATTTTAAATGAGGTCGTATTCCCAAGGGGTTACTCAGTTTGGAGACGTGACAGGAAAACTAGGAAGGGGGGAGGAGTGGCTATGCTGGTGAAAGAACACTTGAAGGTAAGAATTAGTAATTGAAAACCCTCGAGAAGTTGACATAATTGCATTGCAGGTCTGGAATCAGGATGATAAACTGATAATTTTAAATGCCTACAACTCGCCAGCAAGCAACACATGGACAAAGGAGAAATTGGATGACAAATGAGAGGGTCTCATATTGGTCATGAGAGAAATTATAGTAAAAGCAGATACAGGTACTGGGGGACTTCAACTTTAGAGCAATAGACTGGGAGGCCTACGAAGCAAGAACAAAGAACATTTGGACATGCAGATTTATAAACCTCATTCTGGAGACAGTCATGTATCAACACATCAAGAAGGCCTCAAGAATGAGGGAAGTGGATGCTGTCAGTACTGGATCTAATATTTACCAGGAAAGAAAAAAAAATAGATATTTGTCATCCAGTACCATCCTCCCTTGGGAAAGTGATCATGTCCTGTTAGACATTAAATATTCTTTGCAATATAATCTAGAAGAGAATGGGGACATTAAAACAGTTGATAAACTATATAAAGAGAGGACACTATGGGAAATTGAAATTTTTTTTAATGAGCATAATTGGACAGACTTGTTGCTAGGTAAGGAAGTAAATGAGATGTATGCCAAATTTGGGGAAATATATGATGAAGGCACACAAAAATTCATACCAAAACAGAGATGCAGGACCAGAAAACAGGATTGGTTCAACAGAAACTGTGAGAGGGCCAGAGAAAAAAGACAAGAAAATGGGTTCAATATAGGAAGAGAGCTAACCCACACACATACCAGCACTACAAGCAAGAAACAATTACAGTTTGGCCTCAACTTACGAACTTAATCCGTTCTCAGGGACTTTTTTTTTTTTTTTTTTTTTTTTTTTTTTTTTGCGTGTGTGGTGTTGAAGGACAAAAGGCCCTTAGCAGCTTAAGGATTAAGGTCCTTTACTTGCATATTTTATACCTCTATAATATACATTGTTGTGTTATTGGTACAGTATGTGCATATTGGCTATAAATAATAATAATGGTGCTCGGCTGGACTATGTACATGTTCAGTGCCCTGATCTTGAACAAAACCAGTGTTCAGTTATAGAACCAAGTCATTTAATCATCTTGTATAACACAACAAGCTGATGTGTTGATATGTCTGCAGGTGGGCGTAGATCTCAAATCAACCACTCCTGCCCCCTACAGTTCATTGTTATTAGGATGAGAGGAGCTAGGATTTACAATCCTAGCTTGCATTTACAATCCTAGCTAGGATTTACAATCCTAGCTAGGATTTACAATCCTAGCTAAGGACTTTTCTTTGTGTTAATTTACATACAGTAAATTTTATATTTAGTGCAGCACACATCTTTAGTTGTTCTCATACATAAATCGGCAGTGCGTGCATTGTCTGCACTGCTGGTGCTGTTTGCACCAATCCTGCGGGATGCGGTATCACAGTTTCTCTCTTCACATCATGCGTGTCGGCTAGTGGTGCTTGCTTCCTTGTTGGAATCTGCCTGGGTCCGGGCTCTTATGTTTTCATCGCCATTTTGTCCTTGCTGTTTGCAGTTGGGCAGTTTCTGCAAGCAGCAGCTTCTCGTTGTCGGACTTGTTGGCCCTTCGGGGGTCCCTGGGGGAGTTGGTTCCTCCTGGATGGTGAGTGTCTGCTCCCCAGGGATTTGGTTCTTTCCCAGCTCACCGCTTTCGGGTTCCTGGTGACCTGGCAAGCGTTCCTTCTGGTTCCCTGACAGCTTTGGTTTCAGGCGCTGCTCGCTCAGTGTCCGCACCCAGGGGTTTTCCCACGGCTCCACCTCTTTCAGTTGCTTGGTTCGGTCTTCTTCTCCAGTCTTCACGTCTGGTAATTTTGACTCGAGTCTTTCACCATCTGTTGGTGATCAGGTGGCTTAGTTGATGGTGTCCCACCTATGTGCTTTGTCTCTCAGGCAGTATGTGGTTTACTGGCGTTCCTTACTTTTTCCTTTTTGTCTCTTCGTAGGTATGCTGCATTTTTTGTTGAGGTGGTCTTGTCCTTTCTCTCATGGCTGTTCAGGACCATCATCTTATGCCGCATGCTGTCGCCTCGTATTGTGCAGCACTGGCGGAGCCGCTATGGCTTGCTTTTGGTTTTGGCGTTCCTTTTGCACCATTTCGCAGTCTGTCTCGGGTGTTATTTCATCTCTGGCCTGCTCTTGCATTGCTCGAGCCATCCTGGTCTTTAGATAAGGTGCTTTCTTATCTCTCTTCCCCTCGGTTTGCTGTGGCCCCTTCGGTTCAGAATTGTTTCTCGGATGTTTCAGCTCTTCTGAGTTCTGATGATCGGTTTGACTGCCGATAATCATCAACAAGTAGTCAACCACTACCTGTTGACTACTTCTTGTAGTCAGCTGTCTCCTCTTTTCTGGCGAGGATGGGACAGCCGTTTTCCAGTGGGGGTCCATGGGGTTGTTGCTGCTTGGTTGGTTTGGCCGGGGGTGTGTCTTCTTGTGTCCGGTTGTGACTCTCAGCCTGTGCCTGCGTGCCACGGCCTCTGTGGCCTTGGACGTGCTTTGGGTTGACTCGAGTTCCCTTCATCCCCGTTCCAGGGTTCGGATCTCCCGGGTCGTCCGCGGGGTCTTTCGGTGTTGTCGGTTGTTTTGCTTTCGGGTTTCAGGCGCATGGTTTCTGCCTCCCGGGTTTGTATCTCCTTTGTCCTTGTCTTTGGGTAGATAGCTCCAGGAAGCCGAAGGGTCTCTCCCCAGAAAACCAGCGTTGAATCTAATAAAACGCCATTTTCTGGGCGAGACCCGGAGGCTCCCTGGCATCCCTCCCTCCCTCCCTTCCTCCAGTCAGCTACTTTTTCTTTTGTTTTGAGATCCAGCCTCAGAACTAAAGGTGTTAGTTGCCAGCACAAGGGGTTTGGGGCTTCCCCCTTCCCCCTCCCAGGAAGGTGGGGCTCTGCACAGACAGCAGTGCAGCAGTTGGTGATGTCATGCTCATTTGATTGTTTTCTTTTGGGGAGGTCTGTCCACTCGTTTGACTTTCAGTAGTAATTTCAACCAGAATAGTTTTTTTTTTTTTTAATGCTTACTTTTCTGGGTGCCCGACCCAGTCGATAGAGATGTAGAATGCTCCAAGTCACATAGGCTATTGCTCCTGGTGCCTCTCTGAGGGGGCCAAGTTCTGGCTCGTGGTCCCCTGTAGGTCTATGAACTCCATTCACACTGACTGATGCCAAAATCTATTACGTATCAGCCTGGATAGCTCTGGGGAGCTTCCGGGTCTCACCCAGAAAATGACGTTTCATTACATTCAACGTTGGTTTTTTTCATTGCCGCTGTCCTAGGGTTAAATATACATACAAAATTGTAGGCGATATGGTAATTTTTTCATAGCTGCTGTCCTAGGATTAATTATACATATAATGGTAACGATTTAAAACAAGGAAATCTTTAGTAATATTTTGTGTATGATTCACTATACTTGCGTACATGTTTCTCTGCTAGTGGAACTGTGGAAACTCGCTTGTTGTCTACGAAGATGTCCCTCATTTCTCTGAAAATATTGTATTCCTTCATTACTTTAGCCTTTTGAAAATTGTAAAAATGACCTCAAATAATCCAGGTAAGCTTCATTATAATTAGGAGGATTTGTATAATATCTTGTAATATATCCAAGATCCAAATTTTTTAATCCATTTTCTCTGAAAATTATCTAAACAAAGATTCATGTACAACTTGGCTTACATGTTGCCAAGCTTGTTATTGTTGTTAATATTATCCTACTCATTGAGTGAAGGATCATTATTACATCCTGCATTATTACATATTATATCAATATACAATGGGGCCTCGACTTACAATGCTAATCCATTCCCAGAGACGGATCGTAACTCGAAATATCGTAAATCGAAGCAATTTTTCCCATAAGAAATAAAGGGAATTGAATTAATCCGTTCCCCACCTTCCAAAATATTAACATACAAATACATTTTATACTGAATACAATGTTTTTTTCTAACTACAATACAGTACCAAAGTTTCTCTTACCTCTATGGAGGACTCTTGATGGTGTATGGAAGATGGTGATGAGGGGGGGGGGGGAGGAGAGTTGTTACTGTTTGGAAGGAGAGTCCCCTTCCATTATCACATCAGGCAGTGATGTTTTCTCTGGGGGTACTCTCTCTCCTACGTTTTGCCTGAATACCACTAGGACCTGGTTGTGGTTCAGTGCTTCTTTGTCTCGCTATAAATGTGTCAAGAGACATTTGTTTTTCCCTTCGTTTTAACATTTGTCTGTAATGATTCATCACAGTGTCATTGAATAGGTTAAGGCAACGGCCTACTGCAGCTTGATTTGGGCGAGTCGTTTCAGCAAAGGTTTGCAATTCTTCCCATGCTGCACACATTTTCCTAATTATTGAGGAAGAGACATTCTGTACTCTTGTTTCTGCTCTATGGTCATCCTTACATGGGTTTTCATATGTTGAGCCTTACCACTGACTTTCTTGGGACTCATGGCGTGATATATAATAATTACTTTAATGTTCAAAATGCAAAAAATCACCACAAACGCGGAATTTCTTATAGGCACGATCGTCATTAAGAGGGCAGCTGTAGTAAACTGAGGCAGGTCGGACCACGAGACCGGGAACCATGCACTCGGGTGATCCGAACGTGTACCAACAAATATCGTTAGTCGACGACACCATCGTATGTCGTCGCATTTTTCGATGAAATTTACATCGTAACTCGAAATTATCGTAAGTCGAGGTGCCACTGTATATAAAACAGGATGTCATGGGTTCTTACAATGGGAGGACCTTTCATAAGCCCCTAGCTTTCTGTTTTCTGTTGAGGTGACTAGGGAAATAGTGGCTCAAGGGTACATTCACGTTAAACGGGTATAAAGATCTTGCCATCTTCATTGTCTTTTTAACTATCGACACAGTGTCACCATTGGCAGACTTGTTAATTTTCAGAATGAGTTATGCCATTTGGTTTGGTGGAGTATGGTCTAATTTTGCACAGAACAGTTCAATGAAGGTTGTTTTCCAATTCTCAAATCCGTATGCGTCTCTAGGTTCGAATGTGTAGTAAGCTTAGGCTCGGTTGAGTTATGTTAGATTTGTTGGGTTAGGTTAGGTTCTTGCTAGGATTTGTTGCCAAACCGTCTTGTATACGATGTGACTTGTATTCGCTAATTTGAGATAAATATTCCTGAACAATTTAATTATTGGGCTGCCCATATACTTCCTCTATTACCCTTTAATATGTTATGTAGAAAATTGTTATTACCAATACAACTTGGCTTACAAGTGTAATACTAGATTTCCATTCAAAGGCATTACAGTGCAAGCAGTGGTCTATATTATATTAGAAACATATTATATACAGTACTTTATTATAGTCAAAATTGTCTATTTTTCAGGCCAGAGGAAACGTTTCCAGCGGCGCTGTCCCTCCTGCCGTGATATTATCAATGTTCGTCGACATGTCTGCAATTGTGGCTACAGCTTTATTGATGCCAGACGTAAAGCTGAGAAGGAAAAAGAGGCTCATCACGAAGAGATTGGGAAAAGAGCTACTAACTATAAAACTCTTTCCAGGTCACTTACTGCTATTAAGAAACATGTAAGTATAGCATGTATACTGTACTGTGTTACAGTACCACCAATTAGATGTAAGTATGGCATGTATATTGTGTTACCACCAATGGTAACTTTTATGTCATGTATACAGTGGTACCTCGATTCGGTGAATCTCCAGTTGGAATGAACACTTTCCAGGCTGGATTAACTCGCCCAATTCCATGAACAAGAGTTTGCTGGGGTGAGATAAGCGGATTTGCTCAGGGTGTTGGGACAACGTTGGGACAGACTTGAGACAGACACACTATATCAGTAGGATAGCTTCAGGGAGCCTCCAAGGCTCACCCAGAAACTGGCATTTCATTATATTCAATGCTGGTTTTTTAGTGAAACTTGTGATCCCATTTTATATTTTGTTACTTTTTAATCATAAAGTTTTATTATAAAACTTGATCATTTCATAGTTGATGTCATCTTTAGAATGCTGTTTTCAAATGATAAGGTTAATTTTGGGGGTAACTTAATTATTTTGTACTATTTTAGACTGCCAAACTTAGAGGTGGTGGCTACCAGATCGCTGTCGTCTACTTCAAAGTCCGCAGCCAAAGAACAATCAAGAGCATTTTACCAGGAAGTGGCCTCTCAAAAGAGGGTGAACAAAATCTTATCAAATATTTTTACCTTTGTAAGTTTTTGTTATGTATTTTGTTAAAGTATTTATAGCTGTCCCTTTATATTTATGTAAACAAACAGTTCATGTTTGTTTGCATAAAAAAATTACTGCATATCCATTTTTTATACCTTCCTAATTTAATACCTAACTAATATACCTACCTACCTAATTCTTTAATTCATAAAATCATCATCTGTTTTTTATTTCCTGTTGTCTGTGACAGGAAGCTTGTGCCTGGGTTTATCAAGGTCTCCATAAGGTCAACTGCTGAACCAGGATGTAATCTACAACAATTATCTAATCCCTGGGTACCTATTTACTTGTAAGTGAACAGTCATCAGGTGAAAGAAAACCGAGCTGTACCAACCTACCTGTTGACTACTTCTTGTTGATCCTGGGAATCAGTGTTCCCATGGCCAGGTCTGACACCAGGTCTCCTGGTTGATGGTCTGGTTAACCAGACTTTTGGATGCAGCTGCTTGCACCCTGGCTGATCAGGTATCCTTTGGAGGTGTTTATCAAGACCTCTCTTAATCTCTCAAACACCATGAGATCTGCCAGGTGAGCCCCCTTATGTGCAGAGGAAGAGAGTCGAAAAGTCTTGAGTTGTTAATGTTGACAGTTCTCTCGGCACCTGGTGGACCAAACTCTCACAAGTCAAGTCTGGCTTCGGGCCGGACTTTGGGAGTAGAAGAACTCCCAGAACCCCATCAACCAGGTATCAACCTCTATTTTTCAATGGGGCAATGTTGCACATCCTGCCAAGCTAGCTGGTTTCATGTGCAGTTATTTGAACCAGTTCCTCTAATATTTTTCCAAGTGTAAATTATTATTGAGATCTCGCTTGTATTCTACCTGTATTCTATAGAGTGCAATAGATTCTATTTTAATGCAATACATTTTAATCTATTACAGTACATTCTCTTCTATTGAATAGAACCTTTAGCAGTCTCATTAATTTAGGTGTTTTATCGAGTGGATTCAGGCAGTAAAAGATCTTTGCACTTTCTCCAGGTCAACAATTTCTCCAACTCCAGAGCACTGGTGTCTTAAGACTGTACAATATTCAGGTAGCCACAGCAGACTGCCATTGTTTGGTCTAAGAATCTTGAAATGACTTCTCATGTTCCTTTACAAAATAAACTTGTGGAAAATTATTCATTTACAGGATTTAATGATCAAGATTCTGATAGCAGCATTGTGGTGAGAATTACAATGTGTGTAGTATGGTGGGAGGTGGCATCGTCAGCTTACTGTGTGTGGCGGCTGCTATATTGTTTGGACTCGCCATACCAGCTTACTGGTTCATTATGGTTAAGAAAAATGTAGATACTTATATATATCGTGGGTATATAGCGTAATAACAGCAAAAACAGTATGCTGGGAGGAGCTATCTTGGCAGTGTGGTGGCGTCGTCAGCTGACTGTGAGTGGCGGCCGCTATTATAGTTTGGACAATGTACCAGCTTAGTAGTTCGTTATGGTGTACAAAACATGTTGCTACTGTTATACAAAGTGTGTAGAGAGTGTAATAACAGAAAAAATATTATTATATTGTTTATAAACATTAGTAGTAGGCATCTGTCAGTCCCATGAGATTATGGAGTTATGAACCCAACCAGACACCCAGAGCACAACTCCATTGTGCCCTGGGTGTCTGGTTGGGTGCAACATCTGCAGTGGCTGTGATTAACATGTTGACCAATTTTGTTCCAACTTCACATGCTTAGTGCCAGATATGCATTCTCCACGATGTAGAAGTCGCAACAAAATCCACATAGAAACAAGATAAAAAAAGTTGTCAACCTTTCAAACAAAGGGACATAAGAAATATTGCTATTGGGCAATGTACTTATTACTAGTTTTCTTTGTGCGTCGGACAGGTGCGTGCATCTCTCTATCCCTGATTGCCAGTAAATAGGAGGTGTTATTGGTATTATCAGTACTGGTTCCCACCCGTCGTGCACGCATTTATTTTTATAAAATTTGTAAAAAATTCATTTCTTAACATATTGGGATGAAATTTTCACGACGTTGATGTCAAATAACAGGAGATTTTAGAATTTTTCACTATTTCATATTTGGAAAAGTCTCCTCCGTCACTGAGCCCCTTATGGATATTGGTCAGGTGCAGCTTCACGTGCAGGTTCTCGTCCTTTCGGCATCCCTGGTTGCTGAGGATGTGCGCGCCCCCAGGCGCGCACATCCGGTTTACACACATCGTGCGGTTTACTCACACCTGGTCCAACAATTTGTGGGAATTTTTAGTCGTCTCCTCCGGCCAGCACTGGCGTTGGGTGGCTCCTCCTTTGAGAGGTTCGGTGTTCGGCGGGCAGGCCTTTTCTCCTGCGCTCTTGTCAAGTCATCTTTGAGTGGGTGCACTTAGGCATGATTGAAACTACCTCATCCCACAGGTGGGTTTCCCACCTGTTTTCAGTCCTGAAATGGGACTGTGCGGATCTGAAGTTCTTTTTGGACTTGTCCCGTCTGAACCCCTGGGTCTTTTTCCCTCCTTTCGGATGACCACTCTGTCCCAAGTCCAGCTTCTTTTGGAGCCAGATGTTTGGATGATGTCTCTGAACCTCCAGGACTCGTATTGGCATGTCCCGATTCATCCGGGGTTTAGGGACTGGCTTGATTTTGTTGTGGGGTGTCAAGCTTACCGCTTTCATTGCCTTCCATTCGGCTATAATCTCGCACCTCACGTTTTCACACACCTTACCCGGGTTGTGGTGACCCGCTTGCTTCTGCTAGGGGTTCAGGTTCTGGCCTATCAACGACTGGCTGGTGTGGGCTCCCAGCAGGGCCGCATGTCTGCTCGCCCAGGGTTTGGTTCTTTCCCAGCTCGCCGGGTTTGGGTTCTAGGTGAACTGAAAGAAATTCCATCTGATTCCCTCTCAGGTTCAGACTTGGCTGGGTCTTGTTTGGGACTCTCGGACCACTTCCTTGTCTCTCCCTCCGGTGTCATTGCTGCTGTCCCGCTTTCGGCTGTTTCTGAGGGCTCCTGGGGTCACTTGTTGGTTGCTTGAGCAGCTGTGCAGAAGTCTTGACTTCGCCGGGTCAGATCTGGCTTCGGCAGCTCTTCTGGTTCCTTTGGGGACGTCCCTTCCTCCACTCTCGTGATCATTGGGTTCAGCATCAGGGGGCTTTGAGTCGGCTGCTGCATCACCGTCTTCCTCTTATCACCACCTTAGAAACTTAGATGATTGTCATGCCCTTCAAGAAGACCTGGACAAAATAAGTACATGGAGCGCCACTTTGCAAATGGTCTCTTAATGTTAATAAATGCCATGTTATGGAATGTGGAATAGGAGAACATAGACCCCACACAACCTATATATTATGTGAGAAATCTTTAAAGAATAATGATAAAGAAAGAGATCTAGGGGTGGTTCTAGATTGAAAACTATCACCTGAGGACCACATAAAGAATATTGTGCGAGGAGCCTATGCCACGCTTTCTAACTTCAGAATTGCTTTTAAAAAAATGCATGGCGATATACTAAAGAAATTGTTCACGACTTTTGTTAGGCCAAAGCTAGAATATGCAGCAGTTGTGTGGTGCCCATATCTTAAAAAGCACATCAACAAACTGGAAAAGGTGCAAAGACATGCTACTAAGTGGCTCCCAGAACTGAAGGGCAAGAGCTACGAGGAGAGGTTAGAGGCATTAAATATGCCAAAACTAGAAGACAGAAGAAAAAGGTGATATGATCACTACATACAAAATAGTAACAGGAATTGATAAAATCGATAGGGAAGATTTCCTGAGACCTGGAACTTTAAGAACAAGAGGTCATAGATATAAACTAGCTAAACACAGATGCCGAAGAAATATAAGAAAATTCACTTTCGCAAACAGAGTGGTAGACGGTTGGAACAAGTTAGGGGAGGTGGTGGAGGCCAAGACCGTCAGTAGTTTCAAAGCGTTATATGACAAAGAGTGCTGGGAAGACGGGACACCACGAGCGTAGCTCTCATCCTGTAACTACACTTAGGTAATTACACTTAGTTAATTACCTGGGACATCACCAGGCTGGCTAGGGTCGGTGGGGTCCATCATTCTATGAGGCTCACAGCACGGTGCGGGAGTTTGCAGCGGTGTGGCTGTCACTTTGGAGGGTTCGTGTCGCTCACGGATCGATAATCAGGCTCCATTCGGACTGCGCCCGGTTGGTTCATTGCCTGAACCTAAGGGGTTCAATGTGGTTCTTGTCTCTTTGGGGCCGGTCGCTTTGGGTAACTCGTCTGCCGAGTTCTTAAGGTTTGGCTCTCCTGGCAGTTCACATCCCCCTGGGTGTCCAACATCCTGGTGGACGGCCCGGTTCCTATCCCCTTTCCACAATGTCCCGGTTCATTCCCCTTTCCACAGAATGGACGGTTGATGCCGACTCGTTTAGATGGCTCTGCCGGACGTACAGGCACCCAGAGTGGGACCACTTCATGTCCGCATGGTCAAGGCATCTCCCGGTATATGTGGCACCCTTCCCTGACTGCAAGGGAGTCAAGGTCTATGCTTTTCATATGGACTGGTCGAGATGGGGTTACCTGTACCTCTTCCTGCCGGTTCAGCTGTTGCTTTGGGTGTGGCTTGGTTGGAGACTTACCAGAGGTGAGTTGCCCTGTTTGCCCCTTGGTGACTGGCCCAGCCTTGGTTTCTGCTGCTGTTTGCTCAGTGTCCGAACCCGGGGACTTTTCCATGGCTTCACCTCTTTCAGCAGATCGGCACGTGGCTGGTTCAATCTTCTCCGATCTTCACACCTGGTCTTTTGTTACATGGGTTTATCACCACTTGTATGGTGATCAGGTGGCTTTGTTGATGGTGTCCCACCAAAGGGCTTTGTCTCGGCAAAAGTTTGAAGTTTCCTGGCGATCTTTTAGTCTCTTTTTATCTCTTCATAGGTTGTCTTCGGTTTGTTAGTTGTTTTGTCCTTTCTCTTGTCTATTTCAGGACCGTCATCTTATGCCGAATACTTCCGTATTACAGCACATTCTATCCTGGTACAAAATAGTCACAGAACTTTCCTCACATATCACTAAAAAATCTTCCATGGTCTGTCCTGTCTTCATTATCATTGTTCTTAAAATGCAGGCACCTGAGAACCAGCAGAAACCTGTCATGTGACATGTACCTGTTGAGCACGGGATGGAACAAGGCTGTCTTTGCTCCAATAATCCTGGATCACATGTTTTTCAGAATGTTTCATCATGATGCTCAACGCTTAAAACACACACATTTTCTCATTTGTCGTGTCTTTCCATCGTGTCATGCGAGAGGCAGGTAAAATGCCAGAGTCAATGAGGCTGTGAGCATATCTGTTCGTCTCTGCAACGAGATGGTCCATGAATTCCTTATCAAAATATGCCATAAAAGAGTCAATTTTAGCCATATCACCTGTATAGGAGAATAATGGTGTCACACCAACATCGGGTCCACATCAGCTTCACTTCACAGATGGATCAGTAGACCAGCAGGGACAAGAAACCGGAGCTGCAGTTAAAGCAGGAAACTCTGTAAATAGTTGGAGGCTCTCAAATGGGTGTTCGACTTTACAAACAGAGATGCTAGCCATTCAAAAGGCTTTGGAACATGCTCTTGCTGAACATCGACAACATGTTATCATACATACAGATTCGAGAACCGCCATTGAAACCTTGCAACAAGAACACATATGTGATAACATCCATCTGATCACAAATGTCTTATCATTCATGCAAACACTCAAACGACAAGGCCGACGGGTACTTATCAACTGGGTGCCAAGTCATGTGGGAATAATAGGAAATGACATTGCAGACGAAGCTGCAAAACTTGCTACTAAGAGGAGAAATGTAGACATTTACATACCACAGAGTCTATCACAGATTAAGAAAGTAATTAGAAACAGATCAATGCAAAAGATGTACAGTGACCACAACACAGCAGTTGCAACATCAGGATCTGCGGGTTGGTACTAGAATTCAACCAACTACGAACCACTTAGTTTAATGAAAGGGAGCAGTAGAACAACAGAAGTGCACTTACATCGCATCAGGCTTGGATACCCATGTGCATGGGAAATAGGCTTACAGGTTCCGGAAGATGAGAGGAAATGTCAACACTGTGGAGAAATGCCCGACAGACCACTGGAACATTATCTAACACAGTGCACAGTTACAAACCCATTAAGATTTCAACTTAGATTCAACAGAGCAGAAGAAGTTGTTAAACACATATGGCAAAATCTTACTGAAGCGACCATACGAGTCATAAATACTCATACTCTACCCATGTAAAACAGAAACAAGCAACACTTAGTGGGCCAGCCAGAGGCTTAGGGCCCGCGCAGGAATATCCCTGCAAAAAAAAAAAAAAAAAAAAAAAAAAAAAAAAAAAATCAAATGTTGGAATTTGTGGGACAAAAGTCTCACAATCCTCCCACATTGGTGGAGGATTGGTTTGGTTTTCGTGCCAACACCACCTTGAGCACCAAAAACACTGCTCCGTCGTGCTGCGTATAGGTATGCCATGAGATGAGTGTTCTGCGTAGTGTAGGCCTACCACAAACACCTGATGTGGAGGGAGCACTGTCGTCTTTGTCCTCGGGCCACGTGACACGCTGCCGCTTGCCTCGCAGTGTTGCTGGGGCAGCAAAACCCCGCCTAGTAACACCACTGCTCACACTAAGTTCATCAATACTGCTTGTATCAGAGCCTATGTCACTGAAGCTCAGGAATGATTCATCACATGTACAGTCGCTAAATAAACTCGCATCAGAGGACACACGTGGTGGTGGTGACTCAAGCGGTGTTGACCCTGGGCTGCGAGGCAGGCTGTGTTAGATGCGTGTACTATACATACTCGCGATCTTCTCTACCTCATTCTTCCCCCTCACTCATGTCAGACCTCTGTGTTAGGTCTTTCTTTGGATCGTAGTCTAAATCATCCATCGTTCCATCATCACACTGTATCGAGTATTTCGTCCTCAGAGTCGTTTTCCTCGACCGCGGATGACCGTGGAATGGGTAGCTCGTAGATGGCGCGTCGGACATGGTTGCTTCCTTGAAACTGAGGCTACCAATGGCCCGGGGGCCATGCTGGGATTTTTTTTTTCAAAGTGGCGGACGATTACTGGGGCATCCATTTCAGGCATCCATTTCGTACCCGCATCATGCTCCAGTTTTGAATAGTATGCTATACCCAAGAGCCCTGAGGCGCGTTGTGCACCTCCTGTCGAGAGCCTCAAGGTACGTTTCACAGTACAGTGGTTAATGTTCCTAGCCCTAGTAGGGCTTGTGTCGCTTTGGGTCACGGGTTGCAGCCAGTGGTCTCGACTTTAAGTTGAGGTGCGAGTAGCGGTTGCCTCCCAGGTAAGTCCCTCTTTTCTTTTACTGTGGTTGGGTAGCTCCGAGGAGCCAGAGGAGGGCTCTACAGAAAACAAGCTTTGAATGTAACGAAATGCCATTTTCTGGGTAAGTCTTGGATGCTCCCCGGCAACCCTCCCTCCCTCCAGTCGGTGGTTTTTGCGTTTTTATATCCAGCCTCTGAACTAGGGTTGGATGGCTGGCATGGGGGTCTGTGCCTCCCCCTTTCCACTCCTAGGGATGGGGAGCTCAGCAGACAGCAGCGGTTGTGACATGCTTGTTTGCTTATTTTCTTTTTTTCGGATTGGGGGAGGTCTGCCTGATAGTTTGGCTTTCAGTAACAATTTTTAACCAGGTGGAGTTTGTTTTAGGATGTCTATCTTTGTGGGTGCTTACCCAGTCGATGGCAGACATAGAATGCTTCTAACCACATGGGGGTGTCGATAGGCCATTGCTCCTTGTGCCTCTCTGAGGGGGGCCCAGGTTCTGGCTTGTGGTCCCCGGTAGGTTAGAACTCCAATCGAATTGACTGATGCCACGGTCTAATACATACAGATCGGCCCGGTAAGCTCCGGGGAGTTTCCGGAATTTACCCAGAAATTGGCGTTTCATTACATTCAACGCTGGTTTTATACCAGTACTGTATGTGCTTGTTTTTATACCAGCACTGTATGTGCCCATTTGTATTCCAGTATTGTGTGCGCTTGTATAGACACGTTTGTATATACACACTAGTATATTTACTTGTTTATGTGGTTTCTGGTGTCCTATTTAACACTAAAATATGTCTTAAGTATATAATTTAATTCCCTCAACATAGACTTACTCCAGACTCGATACTCTCAAGAAAAAAATTATCATAAGACATTCACTCAGGTCTTTTTGAGTGTATATATTAAAGTCTTGTTTAAATAATAGTGTTGTATGATATATAAAACTTAACTATGGTAGCTAGTAAGCATTAGTATTTTCCATTGGCTGTTGGCTATTGAATAATCTTGTGTATGCATTGAAGGTTTTAGTTTGTTCTCTAGTGTGCTAATGTTCATTATACAGTGTTGTTTTCAAAAGAAATTTGAGCAACAGACATTGTTAAATTAAAATACATTTTCTGTATTTTCAGCACACACTCAGAACAAGGAAGTGAATGCCATGAGTGCTCAACAGAATGATGTTAATGAAGATGATAGTGCAGCAAGTGCTGAAGAAAATCTGGTGGTCAACTGTCCGAAACAGGAGGAAGAAGACAATAGTTTAAAAATGAACAAGAAGAAAGTAAAGAGAAAATGTTCCAGAAGGTCAAATGATGCCATTAGCCATCCAGTTGGTAATAACAAAGTATTTCTGCATTACTTAAATTCAAAATAAAACATTTATTATGTGTAAATTGTAGGTGCTATAGTAGTACTTGTCAAAAGTATGCAGTGCCTTGCTTCCTACCCTATCACAATTACAATACATAAGCAAAGCTATTGTAAATTATATAGTATAACCTTTTAACCCTTGCAAGGTGCAAATCATTTATCTGAGATTTTGGCCAGACTGACTGGAGGGTGAATATCATGTGTGCACGCCAGTCGGTTTTAGAGTATAAGTGTACCATGTGGTTACAGGTGGTTCAGTTCAGTTTCTTAAGGACTCTAATGAATTATTATTTTCTTTTTAATCATGGGCATCATTTCTGGGTGTGAAGGCCACGGTACTGAGTAAGCTACCAAGGCTGGCACATGCAGCACTAGCTAAACAATATTGCTGTTCAGTAATAAAAAAAGAAAGATATCAGTGAACACAATGCTGTTCATGATGTTCACACCACTACGCAGGCAGCCACAGCACTTTGCCATTGTCTGGCCCATCTAAGCATCTTGAAACGACTGCTCATGTTCCTGTAAAGTATAGTTTGTACCACCACACACACCAGACTGCTGGTGTGTGGTGATCGCTGTGTGTTTTGGACACCATTCCAAATAACAATCTGGAAGTCCCAATACAATTCCAATCTTAATTTGCACGGGTAAATGGCAGGAGTAACTACGACTACTCCCTTGGGATAGTAACCATTTGCTCCTCACAGTACCCATACAGTACATAGTCTCAGGGATGGCTACTGGGAACTATCCACGCTTCACTGCCGGCCCCGCCTTACCTTTTGGGTAGGGGGGGGGGCTTCCTCACCCTTAACCCATACTCATAGGTTTGAGGGGATCACTGGTACTGAAGATGCGCCCTTCGTAAAGCTGCCCCAGAGGTGAGATGACTAGACCGGTGCCAGACGCCTCAAAAACGTCTGGTGCACCCTACCAAGGTGGGATGGTCGCCGAAAGTTAGGTGCATGCCTACGAAAACTACCATGAGGAGTTTACAGTAGTAGTGATCTAGGCCCATGGTGGAGAGCGCAGGCTCAATACATAATGAGTCAACTAAACCCACTATTCAGGGGGTGTGAATGCCGTCATCCCGGTTGGTGTTAAGGTTTACGTTAACACCCAAGTAACGGGGCACCAGGAAGCCGGCAAGCCTGAGAGAGCCTGGCATAGGGTGACCCTAGCACGTTCTGCGGGACCGTCGGGGCGATCCGACTTTCATTGTCAACTGGGCGGGTGAGTAGTGCCGATCCGCTGTTAGGATGTAAGAACCCAGAGTGATTGGAAAAAGGGCAAACTTAAGGCGGGGCGATTGACTTGCAACTTCAACTGGGCAGGCGGGTGACGCCAACCCGTTGTTAAGGGGGCGATCTCTTGTCGCCCCAGGATGGTTGCGGGAAGGTCAAACTTTAAGGGGTTTGTCATGGCTCCCACCCCTTGCCATCGCGTACGAATGTCAAAGTGAAGGTGTTCAAAGAAGCACGGATAAATGGCAAGGGTGTTGATCTCTCTTGTCATAGCCCCACTTGGGCCTCGCTTGGGGTGTTGGTACCCTTGATGTGGTGCTTGTTGTTACAGGGGGTGGGGTTTTCCTACCCCCCCCCCTTCCCCTTATTGTACAGGTTTGATATGGGTTCAACTCCTCCCTGGTTTCACTTCTTGGTTCCTCGGTTCCCTTTTTTCCAGCAAGTTTCGGCTTCCCGCATCCCACCGCTGGAGGTGCGGGAGGCTCTTGCGGCTTACCTCCTGCGAGACCCGGATTACATCTCGATAATGGATCCTCCTCCTTTTCCTTACTAGGGGCGTTACAAGGTGCCAGAGCCTTCCTGGCTGGCCAACTGCCATTTCTTTTCGTTGTGGGCATGGCAAATGAAAATGGTTTTTCAAAATGCTAATGCTTTCTAGAGTGGAGTACAGTACTGCTGCACAATGACAGCCCCTTTCAAAACTGGAGAAATTGCTGACCTGGCATGCAGAGATCCTTTACTGCTAGAATCCACTTAGTAAATGTTGTATTCCCTTGAGCGCAGGCGGGAAAGATACATAATAATTTACACATGGAAAATATTAGAGGGGCGGGTCCCAAACCTGCACACAAAAGTATCACACGAGACCAGAAGGCATGGCAGGATGTGCAGAATACCCCCGTTGAAAACCAGAGGTGCAACAGGTACTCAGAGAGAACTCTAGCAACATCAGAGGACCGAGACTGTTCAACACGCTTCCACAACACATAAGAGGCGTAACTGGCCGACCCCTCACAGTGTTCAAGAGAAATAGGTAAGCACCTCCAAAGGATACCTGATCAACCAGGCTGCGAGCAGCCGCGTCCAACAGCCTGGTTGATCAGTCCAGCAACCAGGAGGCCTGATTGACGACTGGGCCGCGGGGACGCTGAGCCCCGGAAGGACCTCAGGGTAAGGGTAGGCATGCGTCAGGACGCATGCAGTCCTGACAGGACGCTACAGTTGTTCAGGTATATACCTTGGAGGCGAATTGGAGTACCTCAATGCATGTTTGTTGGCCCCTGTACTTCCTCGTGATATCTGCCAGGTGCAGCCTTACTTACAGGTTCCCTCCCTTTTGGCATCCCTGGTGTCCGAGGACTATGTGCCCATGGGCATTTGGCTTCGGTCTTGCGCTTCTTTTCCCTGCTGGAGCTGTCTTCGAACTGGCTCAAGGAGGATGTGGAGGAGCTGGGTTCCGGGTTAGTGTCCAGTGTGCTTGCGTCGGCGGCTCTGGCATCGGCTGCCTTGTTGAAGTTGTATGCACCGATTCTGAAGAAAACAGCGTATTTTTTGCTTCTCGCCTTAAGTGCCAACAGGCAGTGCCCATTCACTCTTTGGAATCTGCTCGAGTCCTGGCTCTTAGATTTTTATCCCCTTTTTGTCCGTTGCTGTTTGCAGTCTGTGGTGGTGCATATTCTGCAGGCAGCTCCGTCTAATTGCCAGCCTATGTCGGACTTGTTGGTTCTCCAGGAAAGCCGTGGTAGTCTTGCACAGAAGGGTCATGCCAAGACTTGAGGTTCTTTTGGTCGTAGTAAGCCAGTAGTGCCAGATTTGGATCGTGGTGACCCGTTTGCGTCTGTTTGGGGTTCGGGCTCTGGCTTGCCTCGACGACTGACTGGTCTGGGCTTCCAGCCAGTCCGCGTGTCTGCTCGCCAGGGATTTGCTTCTTTCCCAGCTCGCCGGGTTTGGATTCTTGGTGAACTGGAGGAAGTTTTTTTTTTCCCCTCCTCAGGTTCAGACTTGGCTGGGGTCTTGTGTGGGGTTCTCGGACCGCTTCCTTGTCTCTCCCTCCGACAGCGTTGCTGCAGTCCCGCCTTTGACTGTTTTTGGAGGGCACCTGGATCACTCGTTGGTTGTTCAAGCAACTGTGCACGAGTCTGAAATTGGCAGTGCTGATCTATCTGTTGGGTCAGATCTGTCTTCGGCTGTTTTGGTTCCTTCGGGGACGTCCCTTCTGCCACTCGCAGTCGCTGGGTTCAGACCCCGGGGACCTTGCATCGCAGTTTTCCTCTTCGGGCTTTTCGAAGTCTCTAGGCTGGGGTTTTGTGACCAGTGCTCGCCTGTCCAGCCAGGGGCAGTGGGGTCCGTCTTTTCGTCGGGCTCACTGCACGGTGTGGGAGTTTGCTGTGCTGTAGTATTCGCTTCGGAGGGTTCGGGTCGTTCGCAGATCAACAATTCGGCTCCATTCGGGCTACTCCCTGGTGATTCATTGCCAGAACCGCAGGGGATTCAATGTGGGCCTTGGCTCTTTGAGGCTGGGCGCTTCGGGTTACTTGTCTGCCGAGTTCTCAGGGTTTGGCTTTCCTGACGGTTCACATTTTAGGGGTTGTCCAACAGCCTGTCCCAGTTCATTCGTCTTTCCATGGAATGGATGGTCGACACCGTCTCGTTCAGTTGGCTCTGCGCACATACTGGCGCCCGGAGGTGGACGTTTTCGAGTTGGTGTGGTCGAATCATCTCCTGCACACTCTTCTCTGCAGGTGTGCTTGCAGGGCCACATGGTTGACATGGCTGCTCTAAGAAATCTTATGCTCCTTTTGAGCCTTGTCCCGTATTTCCTGGGGTGCCGATAAGTGCACACTTCTGTCTTTGCACTGATGGCTTGCACTCCTCTCTTGTGCTGTCTAAACTGGATTATGTTTGCCCGGCCTACTCCTCTCCTTCGGTCCTTTGCCATCTTGATGCTCTGCACCATGCTGGGTTACTCCTCAGCTCTGGTGCCTTTTAGTTATCTCCTATCCAGAGCTTGTATGTTGAAATGGACTTCCAAGATTGCTGTGATAGTTACTGCCTTTGCTATCTTGTGAGGTCTCTGCAACATTTTCATTCTCACTTCTGCAGGGCTTTGGCTGTTACCCATCAGGTGGGCCCTGTTCCCTTTCATTTTCCCTTTTCTGTTCAGATTTCTCGCTTACAAACTACCCTTTCAGTTTGTGTTCGCAACGTTTCTCCTCGTGTCGTTCCATCCTTACCTCCTTGGCGGGTTCCACTTGTAAAGTTTTGCAAGTCTGACCATTTGGTTAAGGCTTCTACCCCTCCTATTGTTCTGAAACGCCTTTTCCTTTAACATTTTTCTTCACATATGTTCCTAAGACATTTTTCAGTGTTGTATACTCTGTTGCATTTTTGGACCAAACCTTGTGGCACCTACCTCCAGAGGCTCGCACTGTATGTTATCTTATATGCCCTTTGTTGATTGTTTTTCTGTCATCAGTGCTTCTTTGTCATTGCAATTGACTTATAGTGCTCTCATTGGCTTTGGAGAGACTATCCTATACATCCTGTGGTAATTGAAATCCAGTACAAGCTGTTTCTCATCTCAAGCAGATTTAAGCAGGTCGAGTTTTGCTGGGTTCCCAGCCATATTGGCATTTCCTTTAATGAGTGTGCTGACACTGCCGCTAAGGAGGCTATCCACACTTGTTCTTTTTTCCAAAAAGGCATTTCCTATTTTGACTTCTAGCCAGTCATTCAATTCTCAATCCATGCCCATTGCCAGGATCATTGGTCTTGTGTTACTGGTAACAGACTGTGCTCTTAAGGGTAGCGTGTTCCCTTGGCCTTCTTCCTGCCACCGTAACCGGCAGTGAGAAATGGCTCTGGTGAGGTTATGTATTGGCCGTACCCATTTACCTCACAGGCACTGAATGGAATGCCGCCCTGCTCCTTTTTTGTCCAAGCTGCATTGTCCCTTTTACGGTCGTGCATATCCTTGTTGAATGTCCATACTTTCAGGATGTGCGTGTCTTGCTTCCTGACTGTCCCTTGCTGTCATTTGTCCATCAGTAGAATCCTTCGTAAATACAATACCTTTGTTATAACTTTTCTTACCCGTTTTTGTTCTCATATTGGCATTTTTAGTGATATTTTGCACCTATTTAATATCCTGCGACTTTGATAGTTCTACATAGTCTTCCCAGCTTGGTGCCCTTTAATTTTCCTGTGATCAGGGAATGCATTTAACAGTATTTGATGGATTTTCTGCGGGGAGCCCTATCGGTTCCCTGAATCAAACTGACATGTACCATATTAGTTTAGTGCCATCAGTCCCTGGAGTTCTAGTGCCTACGAGGGGTCATGAGCCAGAACCTGGGCCCCTCAGGGAGGCGCAGGGAGTAATGACCATATGAACACTTTACATTTAGAGTTTATCATGTCTGCCAATGACCAGGGAAGGCATCCAAAAAGGTAGCCGAACCAATACGAACCTCTTAACTGGTTAAAATTGCAACCTATGTTCGAACAGAGCCAATGAACTCCCCCCAAAAGAATAACAGTCGACCAGATAATATAGTCCAAGCACAGTTAAAAGCTCTGTACCACATGGCATGATCCTTGTACCACTGCTGTTTCCTCTTTCTCATATCAGATATAGACAAAATACGTCACAGCTTCGCATCGCCTTTTGCAGATGACACAGAAATCGGCGTAAAATTATTTCTGTTGAAGACACTGAAAACTACAAGAAGATATTAATAAAGTTTTCAACTGGGCAGCAGAAAATAACATGATATTTAACAGTGATAAATTCCAGATACTCTGGTACAGTAAAAATTAGGACCTTAACCATTAGACCGCGCAATACATATACTGTATAGACGATGGGAGTAACTTTACCCTAATCGCGCAATACATATATAGACGATTGAGGCTCTAGCGCACGCTTTTAAATGCCCCACAAGGGATAGGGGCAGCTATAGTCCAGCCACGAACGATAGTTGACAGACGCCACCTAGAAAAAATTCATGGACAACATTCCCAGGTGTGAGAGCCTCATTACTGAGTGAACAAGTGAGCCACCAAGGCTGGCACACGCAGCATAAGTTCACAGCACCGCTGTTCAGCTTGTGACTTCAGCATCGCCTAAAAATGTCAAAATATATATGTACATGCTATTATTTAGCTATAATAGTACAGAAGATCCCCGACTGACAAAAATGATCAGGATTCTGATAATAGCAGGATTGTGGTGATAATTAGTGCTGCAGTGGGAGGAGTAATCTTGGTCGGGAGAGAGGTAGCATTGTCTGCTGACTGTGACCACCTTTTATTTTCTGGACTCCCTATACCAGCTTAGTGGTTTGCTATGGTGAACATCAATGTGGATACTTGTATATAACATGTGTGTATAGTGTAATAACAGCTAAAGGAGTATGTTGGGAGCAGCCATTTTGGCGGGGAAGGTGGTGTCGTCTGCATGACATGTTATGTTGTGTACTGGTGGTTACTATGGTCTTTGGACACCTTTGTCAGCTTATTTGTACAGTTATGTTGAATACAACATGTAGATACCTATATATAATGTGTGTATAAAGTGTAATAACACCACAAACAGTATTGTTGGAGGAGAAATATTAGTGTGTCTGGTCTTGAACCAGTGAGGGCAGAAGCCACCAACTGTGTGTGTGTAGCTACGTCTCTTATTGCCTGAACTCGCCATACAAGCTTAGATGTAGTTATGGTGAACAAAACATGTAGATACTTATATATATAACATCTGTGTATAGTGAATAAAAACAAAAATAGTAAGGTGGGAGGGGTATGTTGGCGAGTGAGGAGGTGAGGGAGTGGCTGGTGAGTGAGGAGGTGAGGGAGTTGCTGGTGAGTGGGGAGGTGAGGGAGTGGCTGGTGAGTGGTGGCCAGTCTTCATTGCTTTTTTGACTCACATTACCAACTTAGTGGTTTGTTATGGTGAACAAAACATGCAGATACTTGTATATAACCTGTGTAATAACAGCAAAACTATTTGTTTATTATTTTATGAACATAATTGAATCATATGCAGGCAATGAGTCACAATAACGTGGCTGAAGAATGACTCAAGACAATCGACTTGAGAATGGTCCAGAACGGACCGAAACGTCGTCGTCCCTTCACCTTCTAGTGTGTGGTCTGGTCAACATAATTGAATCACTAATATGCACATCATAATTTTGAGTACAGGGATGGCTCACACATTTTATTATATAAATATATCACAATACACACTATTGAATAATATTACTGCAAAAAAAAAAAAATCAGACATTGAAATAATTAGGTAATAATATCTTTGTGGCAACTCCCACCCGACAGCTCGGGCGAAGCAGGCAGACTGTCTGGCGTCTGCTCTGTCAAACGTCTCTTTTGCCAGACTTCCCTGCCCTATTGCGGCCAAAATATGCCACCTACGATTTTTATTTTTCCTGTGATCAGGGAACAAACACTTTTATAAGACGAATCTTTTTTTTTTTTTTTTTTTTGCGCGCGCCTGTGGGTGTTGAAGGCCAAAAGGCCCTTAGCAGCCTAAAGGTAAAACAAAATACAGGGTACAAAACACAATCAAATCTGCCCATAGTAGGAAAACAGCATGTGAGGGATTTGGGAATAAGGATATGTGACTACCTAACATTAAGGGAGCATAACCTAGCAAATATAGCACCAATCAGAAAAATAATAGGATGTATTTCGAGAACTTTCAAATCCAAGGATTCCATCACAATAGTTGTACTATTCAAATCACGTGTCCTGTCTTATCTTGAGTACTGCTTGATACTCACTTAATCCCTTCAGAGCAGGAAAGATTGCTGAAATCGAGGGAATATAGTAGTAGGCATCCATCAGTCTCAGGAGACTACGGAGTTGCGCTCTGGTTGTCTGTCTGGAGTGGCCTCTCTAGGGCACAAAGCCAGGGTAGTTGGATACGGGGTAGAAGCTGTCACCAATGCAGAAGGTTCCCCTTCTCCAGGTTGCCGAAGGTCCCCAATGGAAAGGCAAACGCCAATATGATTAGTTCCAGCTCCGTCGCAGGAACTGTCAGAACGAGGTTGAAAGCAACAACGAAATGCCCTAGGGACTCCAAACCTGGAGACCGCCATGGTCGGGGCAAGAATAGCCCCAGCTTCCTGAAGCATCATAGCTTGGGCCGCACGAGCCCCAAGAGAAGTACGTCTGAGACCCGCACCTATGGGTTCCAGACAGATCTTCACAGCCCCTTTCACCCGAGGCTGGCTTCCATCATGACCCAGCAGAAGGAAGAGTAATAATTATTAATTAAAGCTATTATAATAATATAATCAATATTATTTATTATGGAATACAGAGAACATATACAGCATACATAGAAAAGATAAAGCACCTAAACTATTGGGATTGTCTCAAAGCTCACCAAATGTACTTCCTAGAAAGGAGACGAGAGAGGTATCAAATAATATATATAGAAAATACTAGAGGGCCATGTCCAAAGTCTACAACACACTGGAGTGAACAATATGGAAGGAAATGCAGAATAGAACCAGTGAAAATCTGCGCCAAAGGCACAATCAGAGAACACTGTATAAACATCATAGATTCACTGCTGTTCAACATCCTCCCAGCGAGCACAAGAAATATTGCTGGAATAAATGGACATTCAAGATCAAATTGGATAGTTTTCTTCAGAAAGTGCCAGACCAACCAGGCTGTGGTGGATATATGGGCCTGCGGACTGCTCTAAGCAACAGCATGTTGGACTAAGCTTTCACCAGGGCTAGGTTTGGGGAGTAGAAGAACTCCCAGCACCCCATCCAGGTACAATATTAGAAGGAAAAATGTTTTGGAAAAAATTTCTTGAGCGCACTGGGAGGGTTGTTAGCTCTGAATAGGTATGCAGCCCGCAAGTTAATTTGTCAGTGCTCTTCCTGATTGTTTTGCACATGAAGAAGTAAATAAATTAAGGAATATTCTCAACTAAACATGTGTGGGGGTCATTTTGGATTAATATATTACAGTATTTAAATTGGCCCATCAAAATGCCACATTTATTTTCATTTATTGTGCAGATTTAAATGCAATTTATATTCTCACAACATATGTATTTTTCAGATTATTAACATTTTTGTAAAGTAAAATAAAAATTTAAAATTCATTTTTCAGCTGCCAGTTGTATTCCAGACCAGACGTTTCCAAAATATGACGTTAACAACCTTCCGACTCCAGGGTCATTAGACCTGGAAAATTTTGCATCTAGCAGTTCAAAGTTGGATCAAGGTAATTTAAATTCATGGCATAATCATTCACAAATTAATACCTATTACCCAAGCAATGCCAGGAATACCCAGCTTTCCTCGGGCGACCCATGGCACGTCTACACTACACACAACCTTCTCTGAAGTCTTACACTTCACAAACTCTTCATAAATGGGAAAATTAACACTTTGAATGGCCTACATCACTGAAATGATCGTTGCTAACCATTGTAATTACCTGAACACTATTGGGTACACCAAATTCCAGCATCACTACCAGCCACCCTGCAAATTTTTTTTTATTCAAGCCCTAAGCATCTGGACTGCCATGAATAGACAAATTCTCTGTTCTCATTATATACCGAGTGTTTGTGTATATATGTCGTACTTAATAGCCAGAACACGCTACTCTGACTAGTATGCAAGGCCCGTTTTGCCTAATAAACAGTGATTTTTTCTTATTTTCAAAAAATTGGTACCAATTTGTTTATTTTAATTAATATTATATATTAAGAACGTGAATTACTGACTTAGTTATGTTAGTTTAGTTTAGGTTAGGTTAAGGGGACATAATGCCAAATATTAAAAGTTATTCAATGTCAATCAAACTTTGACTAGTTGTATATGAAAAGAGCTGCAAATGTTCCAAGTTTCAGTATCGCAGCCTAAATAGAAAGGGAGAGCAAAAAAAAAATTATTTTTCAACAACTTTTCAACATTTTCAATAATACTCTACAACCACAAGTTTCAAATGAAATCATTTCTGTGACACTCATCTATTGCATTAGCATATAATAAAGGATTTTTCCAAACGGATTATCCAAAAGTTCCCCAAAAATTTATGCAAAACTATTTATAAAATCAATAAATGAACTTGGGAATAAAGTATCTTGGATTAATTTTAGACAAACTATATATAAGGTGTAAGTTTTATGTAAATTGAATAAAAAATGAGTAGGGTCACTTTCATGTTACTTGAAAAAATTAAAGTAAAAGGTTCTGCCACCTGTAGCCGAGGTTGACAACCAATTTCCTCCAAAATTGGCACCCTTACAGAAAGGTTTACGTTCAGTAAGGTGTATAAGTTTAATGCAAATTGCCCAATAAAAAAAAATGATAAATAAATTAGAAGGAAAATAATTTTTTTTTTTTTTTTTTTTAAACTAAATATTTTTTTGGAGGGGGAGCCCCGTCGGCTCCCTAGAGCTATTCAGGCTGAATGGACATGTATAACTTTCTGGCATCTCAATGTGCATGGAGAACCTGACCCCCTCAGAGGCGCGAGGAGCAATAGCCTATAGAAACCCCCATGTGGTTGGGAGCATTCTATGTCTGCCATTGACCAGGTCTGACACCTAGAAAGGTAGGCATCCCAAAATAAATCCCTATTCTGGTGAAACTATTGCTACCGAAAGTCGAACAAGTGGGCAAAATTCCCCAAACAAAAATTAGCAAACTAGCATGACATCACGTCGCCGACTGAGCAAATAGACAGGGAGGAATGGGGAGCCCCTGACCCCCCATGCCGGCGATCCAACCAGCTGTTCTTGGCTGATGCAATTCTGGAGAAGTCGTGCGCCTCTGGCTCCTGTTTTGTCTCAGTTCTGTGCCTTGTGGTGCGAGCCATCTCTACAGGTGGTGTGTGAGCCAGGAGAAATATTCCACAGTACTCGAACTGCATGCACCTAGGGTTGCCTTCCCTAGGTTCCCAGTAAGTACTGCCCTTGGGGCTTGGGGCCTCCAGTCACCTTGGGATCTACCTCCACTGTGTCTTACTGCTTGGTACTTGGCCGCCCTTGGGGTCAGCTGGGGATTTGTTGCCCTTGTCTGTCTCTGGGTAGGAAGTAGTTTTCATCACTGGTAGGGGTATAGGGTACTGCACAGCTAGTTATCACTTATTATAGTGGCCGGGTCTGTTCTGCCTGGGTATGTTGTCCTCTTGCGGGGGTTTCCTTTTGTTTTTGTTTGTTTAAAAAACGATAGAGAAATTGTTCAAAAACTATGGAGCCCCACGGGGACTCCGTGGTCCAGTGGATGTGACCCTTGAGTTCCCTCTTGCTTCTTGCATGATTGAAGGTTGTTTCGTTCCATTGTCTCAGGACGACACTCATCGGTTGTGCCTCTGTCATGCTGCCTGTTGGGTCGGTGATTCTTTTGACCTGGAGTCGTGCGACGTTTGTCGTTTGTACGTGCTCCAGTTCACCCAAGCTATTGAACATGATATGAGGGTGCATGCAGCTGCTGCGTTGCATGCTCTGTTTCAGTTGCTGCAGTGCGCTAGGTTGGTTGCGGCTCCGGATGCCCCAAGACTGCCCCATTATGGTTATAGGGACCCGGACTTGGGGGGTGGGAGTTGCTTCGGCTCTGGTTCCGTAAGCCCTTTCTGTTGTGCACCCGGTTCCTCCCCTTTCCCCCCCCCCCCCCCCCCTTTTTTTTGGGCTCTGAAACGTCTAAGGGTTACGGAGTTGGGGCAGGGTCTAGTTGGTGTTGAGAGAATGGCGGTCTCAAGGGTGTCCTCTTTTATGGTGGTGGCGGAGGTATTCGAGCCTGTTCCTCCAGCTATGGCGTATAGGTCTGACTAGTGGGCTCCCTTTCTTAGTGTTTTTACGGCTGCCTTGGCTTTTTTGGGGAGGGGGGGGGGTGAGGCCGGGGCTTTGGGGGGATGGCCTCTTGGGCACGTATTTTTCTACCTCCTGTCGCAATCATGTTCCATTAGTATCAAAATCCCTGCATGACCCTTGGTCATTGATCCCAATGGGTCCATTTGTGCCACCATGATTTTGTGCTTGATTCTTAAGATTCTCAAATGTTCGCAAAACTTTTCGATGCTTAAAATATTATTAGAACGTCCGTAGACTTCTGGTGAGGCTTCCCTCCAGTCCTTTCTCTGACTTGTTGGTCCTCTTCCATACTACTCGTCTCCTTTCAATTCTATTTCTCATTATTTTGTAATCGTATCGTTCCTTACTGTCTCGACATTCCTAATACTAGTATTCGTTAAATACACCTTGTTGGCACCCTTTCCGAAAGATGGGTGGTGCAGTTTGGACCTCAGGAGCATGGGCTGACGGTTTGTTTTGGTTCTGGGGGGTGTAAACATGTGGGTGTTCTGCGTCCTTTATCTCGGGGTTATACACCATTCTCACTTGTCTTATCTCTCCAGTCTTAGCCCCCTAGATACTTTGGGTGTTCTGGATTTTATATATGGGGAAATCACCTAGTTCTTTTCTCTGCTTACTGGCTTAAATTGGGTACACTTATTGGTACAATGGTGACCCCCCCCCCCTCTCTCTCTCTCTCTCTCTCTCTCTCTCTCTCTCTCTCTCTCTCTCTCTCTCTCTCTCTCTCTCTCTCTCTCTCTCTCTCTTTGACCACACCACATGTATCCATTCACCCTTTCCTGTTGGGGGAGCCACAGGGCATGTGGCGTGTATGGGTGTTGGTCGACAGTGGGCTTGGGCGAGCGATGGGCGTCAGGTCAGCCGTCTGGAGTGGGTTGCTGGGTAGGCTGGCGAGACCCACGGGAGGCTAGGAAAGGGAGGGGATGCCCACCACAGGTAGCGGTCACACACAATTAACAAGGTTTCACTAGTGCAGTGTGTTTAACACTACAAACTCACTGTACATCTGAAAAGATACACATTCACCTCCAAGCCTGGTGCAATACAGGCAGGTATATTATGTACTCGCCTAGTTGTGTTTGCGGGGGTTGAGCTCTGACTCTTTGGTCCCGCCTCTTGACCGTCAATCAACAGGTGTATAGATTCCTGAGCCTATTGGGCTCTATCATATCTACACTTGAAACTGTGTATGGAGTCAGCCTCCACCACATCACTTCCTAATGCATTCCATTTGTCAACCACTCTGACACTAAAACAGTTCTTTCTAATATCTCTGTGGCTCATTTGGGCACTCAGTTTCCACCTGTGTCCCCTTGTGCGTGTGCCCCTTGTGTTAAATAGCCTGTCTTTATCTACCCTATCAATTTCCTTCAGAATCTTGAATGTGGTGATCATGTCCCCCCTAACTCTTCTGTCTTCCAGCTTATGTCTTATGTATGTGTGTGTGTGTGTGTTGTTGAATATGACCAAAAGGGTAAGATTGATAATTCTAACACGAACGTTCTCAATATTTCTTTCGTTCTTCACTGTCGTGGTTAATTGATAAAGTAACTCCAAAATTCATGCTTTCACCATCAGACACCAAACAGAATGCCTTGAAGGAAACTAATGTCGTCTATGCCTTCACATGCCCGCTTGGGGACTAAGCCTCAAAGAACACGGTATATAGGCAAGACAACAACCACATCTCTTACTAGGCGATTATTTATGCACAAACAACAGGGCTCCATCAAGGAACATATAATCTCTTCTCACAACCAGACCATCACCAGAGAAATCTTAACCAGCAACACAGAAATCGATAAATACTGTACAGCGATACACCAGCGAGGCACTACACATCAAAAAGTCAACACCAACAATCAACAGCCAATTAATGCACAACTATATACTACCCACTTCAAGACCCCAAAATCCAATATGGAAGCAGCAAGAGGAAGTATGGGCAAATAGGCCTTCTGCAATTAGTTACTTCCATTCTTATGTTCTCATCCCATTGTTTCGTGTTCTGTCTTATGTTTCACCTCTCGAAAAACTTTTGTGCCATATCACCTCACCCAAAAACAAGTACAAGTATGAATGTAGTTTGTGTGTAAATTAAAGTCTTTGAAAATGTGATAAGGAATTACGAAATGCATTTAGGCGTTAGACTAGGAATAAAAAGAATGAATTTTGGAGAGTTGCTTTATCAATTGCCCTCGACAGTGAAGAACATAAGAAATAGAAGAAGATTCGTGTTAGAATTTATAATCTTTATAATTGATGATTTCTAAACAACACAGAAATCATCGATAGATACAGCGATAGCAGGCGGCTTGACGTTTGCGAGGCATTACACATCAAGAGGTCAACACCAGCAATCAACAGCCAATTAATGCACAACTATATTCTACCCACCTCA